TTCACTAATTGACACATCAACTGTCGTCCCCATCTCTCACACTGGTGCTTGAACCATGCCTACCTTTATAACGCTGAGCCACCCACAAATACACCAAGAAATTAACCCCATTGATGGCTGTCAATATCCAATAAAAGTAATCAAGCTTGCTCATGTTCAAGTCGTTCCTCAACCACCCTTGTTCTTCTCCACCAGTCGCACTGTCTATGATCTTAACAAGCGTAGTGCTTAACCAACTCCCCATCCCAATCTCACTCAAAAACATTGCACTGCTTATGCTTCTTGTCCCATCCGTGGCTTCATCATAGAAAAACTCCAACTGTCCCACGTACGTAAAAACCTCAGCGGTGCCGATGAGAAAGAACTGAGGAAGCAACCAAAACACACTCATCTTGCTCAACGGGTTTAAGTGGTCTCGGCGTTTCTTCTCAACCAAGGCAGCTGAGGCCAGGGCAAAGATTGAGACAAAGAGCCCGACTCCCATTCTTTGTAGCGATGTGAGGCCACGTGGGTGGCCCGTGCGTCTCCGGATGATCGGAACCATCCATTTTTCATAGATGGGGACGAGGATGAGGGCGTTGATTGCGGCGAATAGGGGGACGGAGCCTGCGGGGATTTCGAAGTTGGGGCCGAGGTGGCGGTTGGTTTTGTTGGCTTGGCTGACGAAGAAGGTGGAGAGTTGAGAGAATGAGATGGAGAGGGCTATGGTTGATGCCCATACGGGGAGGACTCTTATGAAGCATTTGAATTCTTCTACTTGGGTCACTGTGCATAGCATCCAACGACTCTTTGGGCTGCCCTCTGGGTCTGTCACCACCGCTGCTTTGTCCAAAAACCTTCACCAAAAGAAACACATTTATTTCAAGCTTTGGACAAAACAAAGAACTTCGTATAATATGCATATTGCTATATATAAACGAGGCAGATATGATTATCTATAGACTTACCTATATTGTGTAGTGTGAGGTAGCTTTCGGGCACCCAAGATATCAGACTGGTTGGTCTTAACCTCATACAGGTCAGCTTCACGAACCACCTCAACCCCATTAAAATGGTTCCTCACTGAGGCCACAGAAACCTGAATAAACCTAGTGAAAGGGCTGCCCATGGGCTTTTGATAACGATAATATGGAACACCAGCGGCTAAGATGGCAATGGAGCAGATCATGGCCACTGTTGGAATTCCAAAACCCCAAGTCCACCCTTTGATATCTTGTATGTAAACCAACACCGTAATTCCCAACAGCGCACCTATGTTTATGGCAAAGAAGAACCAGTTAAAGAAGGCGTATTTGGTTTGGACTTCTCTTGAATCAGCCTCGTCGAATTGATCAGCTCCGAAGGATGAGACGCACGGCTTGATGCCGCC